ATATGAGTGTTTCTGTGGTGTTTGGAAGAGCTTATCAGCCGTGTGTGGTGTGAGAGCGTTTTAGTTGTGCGTGTATGTGATGTCAGTTGCCAAAGTGCGGGAGCATTTCAATAGTGTGTATGAGAGGTTTTCATTGTTTGCTTTTCAGTTGAATATGAGATCATTCATTGTGAATTAGTCTGACTGCCTCATGATTCTTGCTGCTGTTCACATTCGGATCTGAACTATGTACACTATTCGCATGGCTTCTGCACAAATGCAGAGTGGACTGATGAAGAAATAATGATGAAGAATTGAATGGATACTTGTGATATCACTTCAGAGTTTGCATGTCCAACTTGAACAAATTGACAGATTGAAGGTGTCAGCTGTGGTGCTCAGGCAGCAATAAGGTGCTGCCTGAGCACATCATAACACGGATGCCTTGGGATTGGAATTGTTTTTCATTTGAATCAGTCAGTCAGCAGCAATAAGGTGCTGCCTGAGCACATCATAACACACACATGGGATGCACTTAAATGTGTTATTCTGTCTATTCGGCTGCTGGCTGACTTGAATCCCAGTGGGCACCCAGGCAAGCAAAGACAAGCAAGAGTTTCCAGGAAGACTGATGCCATGTGGGCCACAGGCTGTATGGGAGACACACATGCTCATCAGGTGCAGCGTGGCAAATTAATTAATTTTCACGCTTAATTGAAGGAGCACTGGAAAGTTCAAAACTAGCTAATTGCCTGACTTTGACTTTCCAATAACAGCGAATATTTACACATTAAATAAAATACTGGTTGAAGTCTAACATACATAGTAATTATTTGTTTTATTTAAGGTTCATCCATATTTTTGCGTGCTAGATTTCATAGGTTAACCCTGCAGAGAACAATCCAAACACTGTTAAAGCAACCCCCCGCCCCCCCCCCGCCCACACACACACACACACACACACACACACACACACACACACACACACACACACTGTATACTGTATATAATATTAATATTTACAGTGATCCCTCGCTATTTCGCGGTTAGTTTATTGCGGCTTCAGTGCATCGCGGATTTTTTCAAACATATTCATTAAAGAAAAATAAGAATTTTAAGTCCGTAAAAAGTCTGCAAACGGTCCGCGAGAAGCAGCGAAAGTCAGCAAAACAACATCGAGTCACATAGAGCAACATATACAGTACTACATGTATATGTTTACTGTATTTTATTATTCATACACTAACCTAACTTAACTTATACATGTTTAAATCTATTAGTATACAGCATTAAGTCATGTTAATTACTACAAAATTGACTTCTACATGCACGTATACCATTAAATTTGGCCTTATAAATATTTTTATAGTCATACACATGTACATGTACCTATACGGGGGGGTCGCTACTTCGCAGATTTTCGTTTATCGCGGGTGGTTTTGGTCCCCATTAACCGCGATAAATGAGGGATTACTGTATATGTTTTTCTCAATGCCCAGCCTGCCTACCAGTAAATTCTTTTAAACATAAAAAACTCAGCAGAAGTAGTTGCAAAATAAAGCCAGGAGATGGCAAAGTAGTCCACTGTGTGTGCATGTGCGTGTGTGTGTGTGTGTGTGTGTGTGTGTGTGTGTGTGTGTGTGTGTGTGTGTGTGTGCGCGTGTGTGTGTATGTGTGTGCGTGTATGTGTGTGTGATCTCGAAGTGTTCTTCATGTTTCAGTTTCAGAGAATGTTTGTGGTGTCCAAATCTGGTTCTCATCGGCCGCCATTGTGCGTGTTTTAGATATTTTCATCCTTGACACACGATTCAAATGATCAAATCTGATAAAGAACGTGATCATTTGAATCAGGTATGCTGGAGGAAAGAGAGGTGTAACACACAAAGGTTTGAAGCGCTCGAGGACCAGATTCGAACAACCAAGCCCTAAGTCATGTTTCTCCAAGTTCTGAAAAATTCAAGTTATGTTGAGCAGTTGAGCAGAGCAGCAAGACTGACAGTCAGGTCCAAGGCTGAGTTGGATGTGGAAGCTGGGGGGGGGGAAAGGTCAAAGCAGTGTCATGTGTTGAACATCAAGTTCAAATACAAGTGATATTCTTGTTCAAGGTTTCCCGTATATCATAAGACTCTTTTGGGAGGTCATGTTGCAACATTTTCCAAAGCGGTTTGTGACAGAAGGGAAGAGACACTAAATTCCTGAGGGACTTCTTAGCTTGTTAGTGTGTTTGCGTGCCTGCGTGTCAGTGTTTGTGCTTGTGTACCTCAGGTGCAAGTCAAGGTCAAGCCCCAGGCATCAGGCCTGGCACATCCCAAATGGCTGACACTCAGGAGAACTCTGAGGTGTTTGATCCACTGACATCGCTGCAAATACACTAACATGTTTTGTTTTGTTGTTGTTTTTTTTTTTTAATTAAATGTGACCCTCGGACGCACATCAGATGATTTTCTCTGGAAAATAACAACAGCAAAATAAGAATGACACGGGCCAATGCTCTGCTTAATAAGTTCTGTGTGGAAATGTTTATTTTGACCACCTGTCAAAAGATGGATGGTGATTATTATGGTTGTATTTTTGTGACCAACGGCTACACTTCTTCTTCGCTCCATATAATGTTGAGGGTTTTTTTTTTTGCTCACTGGCATCTTTATTGGGCTCATGCTCGACCGCTGCCGTGGCTTGCGTTTTTTTCAAATATAGGAAAACTCCCATCGTCAGGGCCAACAACTCAAAGCTGAGCTTCCTGCTGCTCCTCTCTTTAACACTATGCTTCCGATGCTGTCTGACCTTCATCGGCCGGCCCACCGAGTGGTCCTGCATGCTTCGACATGCGGCGTTTGGCATCACCTTTGTGCTCTGCATCTCCTGTGTACTAGAAAACGGTCGTGGTGCAGATGGCGTACAAGGTGGGGACTTCTGACAATCATGTCATGAAGTGGTTTGGGCCCCTTGAATAAAGACTCATTGTCCTGGCATTCTCTCTCATCCAAGTGGTCATATGTGTCCTGTGAATCGTAATCGCACCATCGTTTCCGTTTAAAAATTTCAATATAATTCAAGGATAAGATCATCTTGGGGTATGCTGTAGGTTCTGCTTTGGGCTTCTGGGCTGTGCTGGGCTACATAGGTATGTTATGTTTCGTTCTGGCCTTTCTAGCTCGCAAGCTTCCAGTTAATTTGAATGAAGCCAAACTGATCACCTTCAGCACGCTGATATTTTCTGCGGCATGGATCACTTTTATCCCAGTTTACGTAAGCTCCCCTGGCAAGGTAAGTGTTGCAGTGGAGATCTTTGCAATATTGGCCTCCAGTTTTGGACTGCTCATTTGCATATTTATCCCTAAATGTGAAATTATACTCATGCAACCCGAGAAGAATACAAAGAAGAGCGTCAGAAGTAAAGGGACAGTAAATTCCTTCTGAAAACATATCAAAACACAGTTTAGATTTATATCACAAGTTCTAATTACAGGAATCAACTGCTTATAGACTTATTAATCACACCTTAATCAATTAATTGGTCAGGGGTTGGTAGGCCTCTTTAGTTACCTCTGATCCTTAATTATTAATGCAAAGTAATTCCGTTCAATTCCTCCATTTTACCTAACTACTAACCATGCATGAATTGTCTTCTGAGATCAGGCAAGACTTCTCAGGGTAGAATTGCCACAAGGATTTAGGGCAGTTCTTGGCTTCCAATTATTTCACATTTCAAACCTTTATTAAATCTGAAAAGATGAAGGAGGGACAGCCCTCATTTTCACTGATGTTGGAAGGACATGAGATAAACAAGAAACAAGAACAAGAGCAAACATTCTTAAAGGCAGTTCCATCCAAAAGCAAAATCGTACATAAAATCTTTACTGGATAGGTTTGGTGGGTAACAAATCCTTGATCTGATGAATGCAACAAAATTGACTGCAGAATGCATCCCCAGAGACGTGGACATTCTTTTAGCTGCCAAAAGGCAGACAAACTTCATCTTTTCTTCATGTTCACACAAGTCAGTGGCCATGTGCCCCGATACGTTTGTCAACGTAGACTAATTTCATCCGACAGAACATGAGAAAGTCATGTCCAGTGCTTCACAACTTTTCTCTGATCTCTTATTAACGCTTCTTCTGCTTTGTCGAAATAAAATCCACATTTCCACTTCCAACACTTTTTGACGTGTTTGGTTTCTTCGGGTCTCCTGAGGTATGAGCTGAACCATGACAACTTCTCCCTCCTTGGTGTATAAAGCCCTGCTGCTTGCTAGCAGGGCTGGCCTGGTCTGCGCAGGACACTATGTCACTGTTGAGCCTGCTGATCTTGGTGCTGCTCACAGAGGAGAGGGCGGAGGGTGTGTGCCGCATGCAAGGACCACCACTCCCGCCTGAGCTGGCGCAGGACGGGGATGTTGTCATCGGAGGCATTTTTTCATTCCGCACAGGGCAGGATTATGTGGTTAATACATTTGAAGCGATTCCAGAGGTGCGAAAGTGTAAAAAGTATGTAAGACTGAAATCTGTTTGTCTGTTACTGCATAGATTGCTTCCATTTGACAGGAGGGAAATTTGCATTTATTGCTGTCTCAGCTTCAATTTCAGGGAATTTAAATTTGCTCAGGCCATGATATTTGCCATCAATGAGATCAACGAAAACCCTGACATGCTTCCTGGTGTCAAGCTGGGTTATAGGATCTATGACGACTGCGGAACCATGGACATTCTGAGAGCTGCACTAGCGTTGGTGAGTGGGCTTGGGGGAGAAGTCAGTGATGAAAACTGCACCAAAATTGAATCGGTGCAGGCCATCCTGGGACATTCTGGATCCAGACCAACCATTGCATTTGCACCAGTTGTTGGGCGTTTCCATGTTCCAGTGGTAAGAACTGTTTTGATGAAATAAAGGTTCAATACAAATGTGCTATCTGGGAATGTCACCTCCACATGTTTTATCCTTGTGTTTGCAGATCAGCCATTTTGCTACTTGTGCCTGTCTCAGCAACAGAAAAGAGTACCCGACCTTTTTCAGAACCATTCCCAGTGACTACTACCAGAGCCAAGCCCTGGCAAAACTAGTCAAGCACTTGGGCTGGACCTGGATCGGAGTCATAGCCGTGGAGAACGAATATGGCCTCAATGGCATCGCTGCCTTCATCCAGGCTGCACAAGAATATGGAGTGTGCATCGAGTACTCGGATGCCTTCTCATCTTCTGGTCCGCCTGCGGATCTGCAGAGGATAACGTCCAAAATACAAAGTGCTTCTTCCAAAGTTATTTTGGCCTTTATGTCTCACAGAGAAATTAAGTTGCTGGCAAAGCAGCTGTATGAGCAGAATGTTACAGGTGTGCAGTGGCTGGGCAGCGACGCCTGGATCACGGATCACTCCCTGGCTGACAGTGAGGGGCATGGCATCCTCGTGGGCTCTCTGGGCTTCACCGTCAGCAGGGTTCAGATCCACGGGCTGGAGGAACATCTGAGGGGGCTCCACCCCTCGCTGTTCCCTCACAGCCGCTTCGTGAGAGACTTCTGGGAGGATGTGTTCGACTGCTCCCTGAAAGCAACTGCGACGGGACGGCGAAAACCGTGCAGTGGCCTGGAGAGCTTGCGAGACGTGGAGTCACCATTCACAGATGTGTCTGAGCTGAGGTTTACCAACAATGTCTATAAGTCCGTCTACTCGGTGGCCTACGCTCTCGATGCGCTACTCAAGTGTGAAGAAGGGAGAGGGCCCTTTTCCAATGGGAGTTGTGCTAATCCTGCACAAATTCAGCCATGGCAGGTAACGAGTGCTTCAGTCATAATTGAAGGCATCCGCCTCCCATGTCTATCAATGTATTCATAATTTCACTAATCTATTTTATCTGGACAGCACTTCTCCGAGTACTCAGTTGTTGTACATTAAAGAAAAACAATAACAACAACTATCGAAATAAGATGAAGTCAAGTTTGAACTGAAGGGTGTTTTAATGGTGATTTAAAGGTGTCCAGGTCTGCTCATTTCCATTGATGCGTCGGGAAAGTGTGTTCCAGGGGTCACAGGGTAGCAATGGAGAAGGTTTTGTGACCCTCCTCACCCTCCATTTTTGAAAATGCAGATATTAGGAGACTAAAGGGCGGCTATGATGGGGTGGTGTTAAGGTTAGGGCTCATGACAAAAAGCCTTTTCTTTAAAAATGAAAGTTGTTGAAATAATGTGTTAACAGAGACCAGCGCAAATACAAATTTTTGTGGCTAAATATGTTTTGTTTTGTTTTGTTTGTTTTTATGGTGTTGTAGCCAGATTCCTTTTTTTGTGAATTGCTATGGAATTTTGCATGGCAGTTGGTGGATATCAAACCAGTTCAAATGCACGTTGTACTGTAATAAATACATGTTGCACCTTTTGTCAGGTCCTGGAATATCTCAGCATGGTGAACTTCACTACTCCAGAAGGGGAAAGAGTATATTTTGACAGTAACGGGGACTCGCCAGCCAGATATGAACTGGTGAACTTGCAGATAACAAACAGAGGCACCATGGAAGAAGTGACGGTGGGCATTTATGACGCTTCCCAGCCGGGGAGCCAACAGTTCATCATGAGTGACACTCCACTGGTGTGGGGTACCGGACACTCTGAGGTGAAGCGGGTTGTTGCTGAGACTCACTTGTGTACTCAGTATGAATTATGGAAGTTGTGTGTTCTGGTAGCAGGTGCCTGTGTCAGTGTGCAGTGAGAGCTGTCCTCCGGGGAGCCACAAGGTCCTTCAGAAAGGACTTCCAGTGTGTTGCTATGACTGCATCAGGTGTCCCGCAGGAGAGATCAGTAACTCAACAGGTAATTCAACCAGAGGTGACAAAGTACTCGCACTACATATTAAAATAGAATTACAGATACCCGCATAAAGAAGTGATTCAACTCCTGTACTTGGGTAGATGTGGAGTAAAAGCACAGTATGAATAGATCTTTACTGTGAATTATATACAATCCCCGTTTCGATAACTTGGCACACAAAATAAAAACCTCCCCGTCCCCCCTACAAAATCGATTCTAGAGATAAGATCTGTCCTAAAAAATCGAGCCCGACCCGACCGGGCCCGAGGGCATTAAAGCCCGACCCGGCCCGAGCCCGATCACTTAGCTTGATTTGCAGGCCCGAGCCCGAAGCAAACCCGACATTTCATATTTTATTT